CCAGCACAACAGAGTGCCAGCACAACAGAGTGCCAGCACAACAGAGTGCCAGCACAACAGAGGAGAGGGGAGAACTGGGACGATGGACTAGAACCCGACAGCGACGTCTGGAGGTGGAGCGGGTACTCTGCCAGCTAGTCTTCTCCTAGTCAAAGCTTGAGCTCTGACTACTCCAGCACGGAGTTTAAGGTATTCTTTTCTGAGTGACATCCTTTTGTAGAGTGCTTCAATAAGAGAGATGAGTGGTTGCCAGCTTGCAAGTGCTTCTCTTTGTTTATGTTGCATTGCTTTCATAGCTGCGGGTTTCATGAAGGTCATCGTTTTCCCAATCTTCCAATCAGATTCTGGTATTTTGGATGATTGTAATAATTTTTTAGCAGCATCCATAGGTTCAAGAGATTTATCCTCAGTGATGCCAAGGTTAACAAACTTGTATTGGTATAGAAAATCGCCGAAGGGTCTACGATAACTATAGCCCAAATTCCGTAGTTGTAATGCTTCCAAAATTGAAAGCGATTGTAGTTGTATTAAAACCTTGTCAGGAGTGAATGTTAGTGGTAGTTTCTCTTCATTGGGTTTAACACAGCGAATAAAATGAGCTTCTGTCGCATTAATAAGTTCCATAAGTCTTGATAACTGGTTCATGAATTGAGATCCAATTAATTGACCTTTCGCGCTCTTACCCTTTTCGACTACAACACCAGCAAAGAGTTCCTTACTAACAACGTTCGTACTCCCTTGAACCACCTCGACCAGTTCCGCACGAAGTACATCCTTATTTTTAAACAAGAATCCTTCAACCACGTATTTGATTTCACCAATCGTGTGTGCGACAGCAAAAATCTGGTTGCCTCCTACCTTAGCCGCATAAACCTTCGTCGACCCCTTCAGTGTACTATACACTGCCGACAGGAACTTCTCATCCGTACCACCTGGCGCCAGACATTGATCTTCCAAGGTAGCAAATAATGAACCTCTCCTACCAGACAATGCTTCTATAACCTCCGCGTTAGAAGTAAAAATTAGATCTGTTATCGGAATCCCTTCATCTTTATACAACTTGCTTTCACGCTCAAAGACAGTATCTGTAAAATTCTTCTGTAACATTTCATTGGTCACATTAATAAACAACTGTTCTAGAGAGTTGTTCTTGAATACTTCAAACCCGAAAATATCCAGCATACCCATGTAAGCTGGCCACCCACCTTCAGGTTCTATGTTGGAGTTAAGCTTTCTTATAATATACTGGAACGTGGCATCATACATACCTTTTACAAGTGAAGCTTTTAACATGTCGCCTTCATCCCGTTTCCAGACGCTTCGTATCTCGTTACCACCAGCTATACTTATTTTCACTGTGATACCTTCTTCAACCGCCTTTGGATCAATGAACATCAACTCGCAGGCATCTTCAAACGCCTGTCTCGAACCAGGCTCTATTTCTGCCGCTTCGTCCAATCCCTGCTTTACTACTCCCACAATGTCAACGTTACCCATAAGCAGGACACCAGAGCATATACTTAGCACACTATCACGTTCTTCAGCTGTCATCATCATGGAATCGAACGACTCGCACACATCTTTCCATTCTTCTAAGTCGTTGATGCCGGGCGAGTCCAAGCACTTGGGATTGATATATTTATACTGTTGAAGTGTCTTGCATTTAAACTTCTTTTTTTGGTCCTCATTTACGCCCTTCAAAATTTGGTAAAATATATGGTAGCTTCTCTCGTTATCTTCTTGACATAGAATACGACTTTTCTCCAACAAGAAACCTTGTACAGAACCATTCTGAATACCTCCATTAGCAGCCACTAGTAGCTGCATGTATCGTCCGAATCGGGAGCTGTTGTTATTCCTTATTGTCTTTGCGTTACCAAAAGCCTCCAGTACAGGGTTGGCCGCTAATATAGCCTTTTGTACTCTTAAGTCCATGGCTCCAGACTTGGCAGCAGCGAAAAATCGCATTGCCTGCTTAGTGGCCTCAGTCTTACCAGCTCCAGATTCGCCAGACACAATAATGGTTTGAGACTTGTTGACTGAGTGAAGGTTCTCTAATGCTGTACGAGCAATCGAGAATACATGGGGTCCTAAAGTAGAAACATCCGGCACGTCTCGATATTTCCGTATCCAGTCATCCGTTGCATTCCCAACATTCTTAAACGGATTCTGCACAACCAACAACGGCTCAGCAGTCACGAAAATATTACCCATCACTAAACGCGCCCTCATGTAATCCAACACACAAGCATCATTCGTGTGCGGCAACATACCGATGTCCGGAAACGCCATCGGATCTATGTTACTGTTTGCGTTATAACAACGACTCGCAGCACTCTCGAACACGTCATCAACCTCCTCAGGCTCCACCTGCTTCAACTTAAACGTATCTTCATTAGAACCATTCAAGACCAAACATTTCCCATACAACTCTTCAGGCTTCTTCTTCACGATCGGAGCATCCACAGACCATACATAAAACGCTTTGAAAACTGCCCCACTTGCGTCCAACGCATGGATCTTCGAACCAGGCCGGGTAAGCTTCTTGTTCGCGCCAACCTTCGCTTTAGCCTTAGCCTTACTCTTAGGAGGCATCTTCTTCTCACGAAATCAAGTCTGAAATCACACCCACACTGTGTGTGCTAAACCCTACACACTGTGCTAAACCCTACACACTGTGCTAACGCACCGAACTCACCCGACACCAGATCCGTGTCATGTGCCACCCTCCAGTACGTTCAGTCAGCCAGTCAACACAGAACTCACCCGACACCCATTAACATATAGAGCTCGTGTATAACATTTTAGATCACCACACACCACAGCCCCTCGCCCCGCCCCGCAGGCACGCAACATTCCAAGACACACACTGTGGCTTAACGTACGTAAAAGTAACGGGGGTCTTGGTGAACTTCAACTTCCCTTTCTGACGCAAGGAGAAGAGCTGGAAAAAAAAAGTGGGAAATCTTCCATGAGGCTATCTCTTCTTGTAACCACCCCCACCCACGCCCTGAAGGACCCACGTTGCTGGAGGACCAACGCATCCCACGACACCCTTAACTGTCTGGCCAACCCAACACGCTTGCCTTACTGACGGACTCATTCCTTTGTCCGACGGAGAATCCAGACCCCCCATCTCTCTCTCCGGTTCGACGGAGGATGCGTACCCTCGTCGATATACCCCGCTTTCTTTCTTGGTAGGTAACGTGCATTTGCGCACAGCAGGTGCTCGAGCCTAAGGTGGGAGCTGCTGCTCATCCCCAAGCGGCCCCAGCCCAGGCGGTCCCAGCTCCGGCGGTCCCAGCTCAAGGCGTCCAACAGCAATACGTTCAGGTCCAGCCCCAAGTGGTTCCCCAGGCAGTGCCGCAGGTGGCTGCGCCCCAGGTGCCGGTGCAACAAATTCCGGTAGTCCAAATGGCAGCCAATCAGCAGCAATACGTCGTCCAGCAACCTACCGCCGCTCAGCAACCGATGGCACAGCAACCGGTGGTGCAGCCACCGGTGGTGGCTCAGCAACCCTCCGCGGCCGGGTCGGTCGGACAGGCGGCTCCCAGTCAGGTTCAGTACGTTGGGCAGTACGAGCAGGCTGTTCCCGTGCAGCCGCACGTGGTGCAGAGTCCCGCTCAAGTGGTTCAGGCCCAAGTCCACCATCAGCAGGCTGTGCCTCAGCAGGCTGTGCCTCAGCAGGCTGTGCCTCAGCAGGCTGTGCCTCAGCAGGTTGTACCTCAGCAGGTTGTGCCTCAGCAGGTTGTACCTCAGCAGGTTGTGCCTCAGCAGGTTGTGCCTCAGCAGGCAGTGCCTCAGCAGGCAGTGCCTCAGCAGGCAGTGCCTCAGCAGGCAGTGCCGCAGGCGGGTCCTGTGATGGTCAACTTGGCTCAGCAGCAAGCAGCAGCTATCGCCCAGCAGCAGTACCAGCAGGCAGTGCAGATGCAGCACGCAGCGCAGATTCAGCAAGCCCATATCCAGCAAGCGCAGATTCAGCAGGCCCAGATTCAGCAGGCGGCGGCGGTTCAGGCTCAGGCGGCAGCAGCAAAGCGGCAAGCGCAGGTGGTAGGTGCCCCGAACGTGTCGGTGGTGGACTATAGTGCATCCAATGGTTCGACGGGTACGATTGCGGATGAGTGGGATCGTATGATGCAGAACTTTATGCCAGAGATGATATTAACATTTCGAATGGGTGGTGGTGAACAGGAGCACTTCCACCAAGACGTGATCAAGAGCGGTTTATTGATTCGTGGTGGCTTCTTCGAGAGCAGTGGCGATGGCGATCAAAAGTCAATATCATTTAAAATTGTGGCACCTTCAGGCAAAGTCGTATTCAACTCAGCAGCACCCCTTACTAAAAAAACCGCAGTTGGTAAAAATGCTAATCCCAGTGCACCTAATACCGGTGGCAATAGCCCTAGTGGTGAAGGCTTGTTCAGCATCATAACAGAGGAAGCAGGGACATACACCTTTGCCGTTACATTACCCCATTGGTCCAAGTCAAAGTACGTCACTTTCGTCGTCGGCTCAGGTGAGACCAGATCTCTTTCCAACGAAGATATTAGCTCTGTCGATGGAAATCTTCAACTACTCTATCGAACCGTTTCCGACATAGAAACACAAAATTCTATTCTTTGGATGAGGCAACGCCTACAAGCTGACCAGATTAAAAAAACCACCAACAAGACCTACTACGCATTCGTCATCGAAATGATCTGCACTGCTGCCGCTACCCTCGCACAATTGTCTACCGTCAAGAGAATGGTCACCAAACGGTCTCTATTCTAAACACTAACGGGGGATGATGCACACACACTAAACGGAAGGATGCCCACTAAACAGAGGATAGCTGTACCACTGATGGCTGTACCAGTGATGGCTGTACCAGTGATAGTTGTCGCGAAGGCACGTATGTCGCTTTTAATATAACCAAGACACACGTGTGTGTAGGCGAGAACCAGCCTTGGGAAACATAAATATCACACTTTTCAATGTGGATGGATCACTGTCTAAAAATTGGGTGTTATGAACGACCGCTTGTTCGCTTAACGGCCTCCTGTTTGGTCGACTGACTTCTGTTCTGTGGTATGGATCTCCTTCCGTTTGATCAAGCACCTCCCGCTTGGTCAAGCACCTCCTGTTTGTTCACAGCTCCA